AAGATTTGAAATCAGGTATATTAAAAAGGTACATATGCACGCCTATCTTTATTACAATACTATTACAATAGCCACGATATGTTAACCACCTATGTGTCCAATGACTAACTAGAAACAAAAGTGGTGTATATATGCAAATTATAATGAAATCAATGCACAAATCAATCTATGTAACTTGTCACAAGAATGAAAGGAATGAAAAGTCATGATCCTATCAATAAAAGCAGAGAAAGCATTTGATAAGATTCCGCATCTATTTGTGATTTTTTAAAAAAACTCAATAAAATGGGAAGAGAAAGAACATAATAATGTCCTCTTCTACATAATAAAGGCCATATATGACAAAAACCATTTGTGATAGCATTAATGAAACTAGACAGGATTATGCGAAAAGAAGTCAGTCAGGAGAAAGACAAATACGGGGTGATTTTACTTACACATGGACTATAAAGAAACAAAGCAAAGGAAAATAAAAAAAACAAAATTAAACTCTTCTGTTCTAACTGCAGAATTTAGGCTAACAGAGACTTAGAAAGGGATTGGGAGCAAAAGTTGGAGGGAATTCATCAGACTGTGGTGGATGGCTATTGATACTTCAGTGATGGATGTCATGTGGTAACATACATTTGAAGAGGTGAGAACCTATACTGTTAAAACAAGTAATAGTATTGTAAACCACTGTTACCTGAATAAAAACATAAGCAGATAAATAAACATATTGGATTGATGGACAGATGGATGGACACACATTCAATCAGTCAGTTTTACAGACAAATACACAGTAATGTCAAAATTCCTGTTATAAGAAATTTAGGAACAATGGAGGATTTTATGATACTAATTTGAATAATAAAACTTTCAATTCAATAGCTGAAATAAAGTCCTGGATTCTTATAAATGGAGCAGCAGTAGCCATTCACTCCATTATTATCTTTTAGTGCTTGATCTTAATGCCAAAAGACAGTCTCAAATGCCAGAACCCTGAAGTCAAAATTCCAAAAGAACTCCTCCCAGTTTCATAGATGTCTTCTCTGGAAGAGCTGAAGCACCCATCTGTGACCAATTTGGCTCTCAACTCTTAAGCCACTTCCCTGCCCCACAGGAATAGTGCCATTCTGGATTTCAACCTCAGCATTTCAATCTTCCGGGTTTGTGATCTTTGAAATTTCATACTTCAGGATTCTGGTGTTGGAGAATTCTGTCTTTCTGGATTATGATCTAAACCATCTTCTCTCATCCCGCAACCTATAATTCCATTTTTCAGAGATAACTGGTCCTTGTGTCAGGAGTACATGCTGCAGCTGCTGCTGCAATTTTTAATAGAGTTTCTAAAATAGTCTCAGGACTGAAAATTTGCCCTTATGTGGGCAGTTAAAGTAGCACAGAGACAAGGAAGTATAAACAATGTATGCTTGCATTCCTCCCCAACTTTGCCCTCAAATTTCATAAACTCTTTATCATACTAACCACCAAAGCCCAAATAATCCTCCACCATGGGACCTCCTTACCCCACTCCCACTCCACCACCCTTGTCTTTTGGTTGCCTCAGTAACAAAACTATCTTAAACTACGGATATATTCACATATTCAAATATTAAAATAAGCTAAAAATATATAAAATATTCTACCTATTCTGTTTCCACACCCATCTACACAACTGGCTTAGATAGTTTACACCCTCCAGATTTTCTTTATGCAAATACTATTGCACACCTCTTTATACAAGAAGTAGTTTACAATAGTTTGAACTCTTCGTTTGTCAAATAACAATGTGCATTTGACCTCACACTTGTGAAAATGACACATATCAAAAAGTCAGACGAGTAAATCAGAAAGATGTGATATATATCCACAATATCTGACATCACTTATATGTGGAATATACAGAAACAAAACAAAAGGTCAGATCAAGCCAAACTAATAGCAAGACCTAGAAATCTGACTGTAGAACTCAGGCAACCAGAGGCAGGGGAGAAGGAAGAGTGAAGAGAACAACATGGGGAAGGAGCACAATGGGCTATGGTGGATGACTATGCGTGATGTGGTGGTGGGTGTGATGTGGTAACACCTGAAGGGGACATCCTATAGTGTTAAGACATAAACAATTTTGTAAACCAATGTTACCTCCATAAAAAAACAATTGATTAAAGGGGGAGGGAATAATGTATATTTGAAAACTTTCCACATACATAGAACATCTTTTCATTGTTTACAGCAGTATAGTATCTCATTGTACAGATATGTCATTGTTCGTCTAACCAGTAACCCACAGATAGACATTGGGGATGTTTCCAATCTCTTGCTACAAACAACTTTACAGTGAAAACTCCTACACTTACATTTTTCTACATTAGTACAATGTTACATTGGTAATATATTCCCAAATCTGGTACTATAACAAAATGTAAATAAATTAGTCTTTTTCTAGAAATTACCAATTTTGTCTTTTATGGGGTTGTATCATTTTGTCACATTTTTTCATTTCTATCACATGTACATCTCAGACATGTCCACCATCTCACAGATGAACCAGTTTGGGGAATTGTAGCCAGTGCAGATGAGACAACTCAATGTGATTACTGTCCTCTGACCACATCACAACAGACCTCATAAGGATAATGCCGTCTACCTATTTTCTGAGTTGCTGACCTTTTAGAATCTATTCTGCCTCCCACTTAACCCTAAAAGGCCACAAGTCTTGACCCACCCTGTCTCAACCTAATTGATACTACATCTAAGTTCTTACAACTCCCACTATCCATAAGTTTCCCAGTACACTAGAAACAATCATCTTTGATTTTACTCTGAGATCTCCATTTCTTCATACTATTCCCCACAAAATAACAAAAACATTTCCAATAAAATAAAAAATGCTTCCCCCGCCAAAAGAATTCATATGATTAAAAAGATTAATTCGAAGATTAAAAACAGGTAAAACATAAACACAATGCTTAGAACATGTATAAAAGTGATAACATTAGGGCCGCCCTGGTGGCACAAGGGGTTAAGCACTGCACTATGAAGCAATCCGCAGCCTCTGCAGCACAAGTTTGATTCCCGGTGGGCCAGAGAGAAACCCACATGGAGAAGCTGATCTCTTCTGTCTCGCCAGTTGCTCCCCTCAGCAGTGTGTTTCAGTCAGTCTGCCTGTTCTGTTCCCCACTGGTGAATCCTTAACTCCCCCCCACATCTCTGGCCTGTAGCCCAGCTCTTGTATGCATAAGTAATCTTTTAAAAAATAAAAATAAAAAAAAAGCGATAACATTATATGGAGAATTACAGAAAAATTAACATAAAATCAGGATATTAATTACCTCTAAAGAAAGGAAGACTATATCAAGGGTTTCTGGGATACCAGTATTGAATAAATGGATATTTGTTTTATGCATATTCATTTTGCTATATGCTAATATTTATATATGTTGTTACCTATTACTATGAAAGTTTTAAATGATATATTTTCTGAAGTATTAACATATATTTTTTTAAACCTAATTTTTTTTTAAAGATTTATTTATTTATTTATATAAGCACTGGGTACAGTCAGAAGTGCAGGAGGGTGAGAGAATTCACCAGAGCCAGAGTGGGGAACAGAACAGGCAGATGGACCGAAATACACTGCTGAGGGGAGCAGTGGGCGCGGCAGGAGAGGTCTGTGCGCCATGTGGGACCCTCGCCAGCGGCCGGGGATCGAACCGGCACTGCAGAGGCTGCAGGCAGCTTCGCAGCCCAGCGCACAACCACTGTGCCACCAGGGGAGGCCCCTATTAATATATTCTTGATGAAAAAATATAGGCTCTTCCTTTTTCTAACAACACTTTTATTTTTGAGGTTGACATTACTAATTTTTACTACAACATTTTAGTAACAAAGAAGTAAGTTACTATGCCTAACTCCCCTAAATCCTAATTGAGTGTATTTCACAAGATTTCCCAATGTCTACCCCCTCCCAATTGCTAGATTGTTAAGGAATATGCAATCAGTTTGTCCTGTTAATATCTGCTTAGCTCAATGTTGTTTCTATCATTTCCTCTTCTTATCAAGAAAATGTGTGTTCACTTTTAAAAAATCAAAATCACAACCAAGTAATAATTTTATGCAGGCTACCCTCCAAAAAGTATAGTATTTTAACTCAAAAGTTGGGAGAAAAACACTTTCAATTATCACACATTTAAAGACAATCTTGTGAGCATCTATGTACGCACACAATGTGAAGGTTTATGACAGACAGAGACACCACAGTTGAGTACCAGCTCAGTGCCACTCTATGTAAGTATGATTCGCTGTGTGTAGCAGAAGACAAGTGAGCAGGATTATGGATAAACTTACATTTAAAGTCCACTTTACAAAATGTAATATAGGGTGACTCATTCAAAACAGATCCAACAATATCTACCTCAAATTAAATTGGAGATGTTTTAAATATTTCCTTCGGACAAACAAAAGCATAGGGAATTTAAATTATTACAAAAGAGGTAACAACCACAGCAATAATTTAAAAAATTAAACTTACACTACAAACATGCACACAATTTTAGAAATTTTAAAAGATCTATTACTTCCAAACACTCTTCAATGAATTCATTAACTTTTAGATGCTACTAAACAGGAAACCAACAACGAAATTTAGAAGCAAGACAATCAGAACTTTCATTATCACATATTAATATAATAGAGTTTGCAGCTCTCCTGCCCACCTGTGATTATGCAGGCGCTTTTATTTTTCTTTCTCCTTTCTCTAATAAACCTGTCCTTTTAAAAGGTGGAAAAAAAATAGATAAGAGTTGCTTTGGTTGTATATAGTTTTTTGTGTGTGTGAATCTCGCTAAGCATTCCTCTTCTTAGTGGGCCCAGCTATCCACTTACTTATATGCTCATCTATTAAGTGCCAACTTTAGAAAATTATACTGTGTCCAGCAGGGAGCAGCATTACGACATTCATAAGACTTAACTTGAACATGAAACCGACAGAAGAAAAAAGAGGGGGGAAAACCACTTACCATAGGTCTGTTCTACAATACTTTCAATGTTTAGGATAGTTGCAGGACTTCCAGAAAATAAAACATCTAAATCAGGTTATCAAAGCATATATGGATGATCCACAGTTTCAAGATTCCTAAAGCAGGAAATCGAAATTATATTAGGAAATGGTTTCACTCATCCATGTTGAGTTGAATTAGTAAGTAATATGATTAAATGTCTCTCAGCGGTTAAAGCACATCTTCCTCTTGGTGGATTAAAAGGATTTTTAATTCAGATATTTGATGACAATTTGGATAAAACAATTTAAGAAAACTTGTAATATTAAAGTCCTTCATTTACCAGGGAATTTTAGTAAAAGAAAGTAAATGGATATCATAATATATTAATGACCAGTGATGTAAAAAATCTTGGCAAATGAAATACAGAAATATATTATCAAAACAATATTGCTGGATGGGATTCATCCCAGAGAAGAATGGATGGCTCAATATATACACAAGTCAATCAATACAATGCACCACATCAAAACTTAAAAATATAAAAATCCTATGATTATATCCAGATGCTGAAAAAGCATTTTACAAGATCTAGCAGCCATTTATGATTAAAAACCCTCAATAAATTAATAAGTTGGGACTAAAAGAAGCCTATCTCAACATAAAAAAAGGCAATATATATATGACAAACCTTCAGCAAACACCATACTCAGTGGTGAAAAATTAAAAACAAACACCAGAAGTTGTTTTTCTAAAAGATTAATAAAAATGAAAACTTAATAGCAAAACTAAAAATAAAGAATCCATATATCAAGTATCAGCAATTAAAACAAAGAAGAAATAATCAGTCACTAAAAAAAGTAGTAAGAGTTACATGTGGTATAAAGTAAACTCATAATAGACACACCCTCCCCTAGGTTGCAATCACAATTCAAGACAAAATCCAACAACAAAAAAATGATGTTGACACTTGTCTTTTGACAAGCAAAGACATTTTGTTGGGGAATCAAACTTGTAAAAAGGTATTGACAAACCTATCTATGAAGTGCTGGCAATAAAGAGAAAAACTGATCCATCAGAATACATTGACTGAAATCTAAAAGACAAGAATACTCAACTCAACAAAAAGAAAACAACCCAATCAAAATATGGCCAGAAGAACTAAGCAGACACTTCTCCAAAGACATTCAGACTGCAAAGAGGCATATGAAAAGACGTTCACCATCACTTATCATCAGGGAAATGCTAATCAAGACCTCAAGGAGATACCACTTCACACATGTGAGAACGGCACATATAGAAAAGACCAGAAACAACAAGTGCTGGTGAGTGTAGAGAACAGGAAAGTCTCCTACACTGTTGGGAATGCAAACTGATTGCAGGCCTTATGGAAAACAGAATGGTGATATTTCAAAAGTCTGAAAATGGTTCTGCCATCTGACCTACTAATTCCACCCCTAGGTATCTACCTGAACAATATTCAGAATAACCAACATAATACTGAAGAACAAAGTTGGAGGACTGAAGTTATCTGACTTTAAGACTCCAAAAAAGGTACAAGAATCAAGAGGATTCATACTAGAAAAAGAATAGACAGAACAGAGTAAAGAGTCCAGAAATAGATGCACATATAGTTGTGTGACTGTGGGAACGAATAATTTCCCTCAAATTGAGAAGGTAATTTTGTGAAGTAGTCACTTCCATTAATCATAATTAAATTTTATGAAGAGCAGCTTACATACAGGGCTTCTTGGTGCCAGAGCCAGTGGACAGGACTTCAGGTCAAGGCAGTATCCACACCACAAATTTTGAAAGGGTTATTCTTACACACTTTTTAGTGTGTGTGATCATTCTGATTTAAGACTAATGATGCCAGATGTCCAGGGAGTTGTGTCACGTGCATCGTTGTTCTACTAAGATTAATAGAGTTGCATATGGATTACAAGTACAGGTTAACACACATAAAAGAAACAATGGGGGAAATTGGCTATTTTCCCAGGGTAGGGCAATTATCGGTCATAGACCTAAGTAATGGCATTGATACAAGATGGAGTCACTTTGGTTTTCTTTCTTTCTTTGTCCTTTTCCTCTACTCCGCTTCACTGCAAAGCTTTCAAAAATTTAAAATGGTCTTCCTCTTTGGAATATTCAACTTCACTTGCCATTCAATTCTAAGCACAACTATTTGACTCTATTTTACTGTTCTATCAAATCTGCCCTAAACAAAGCCACAAATAAACCACTATTAGTAAAATCAGTTGAAATTTTTTTTAATTCTTTTTTAAAAAAGATTTATTCTTATGTATTTATGCAGACAAGAACTGGGATATAAGCCAGAGATTCAGGGGATGAGAGGATTCACCAGAGACAGAGTGGGGAGCATAACAGGCAGATCTACTGAAATACACTGCTGAGGGGGAGCAGTGGGTGAGACAGGACAGGACTGTGGCACCATGTGAGTTAGCACCCTGGCTGGGGATCGAACTCATGGCACAGTGGCTGGTGACAGCTTGATAGCACTGAGATCTAAACCCTGTGCCACCAGGGCGGTCCAATTTTTTTTAAAAAAATTCTTATTTGACTTTCTGTTCCTTTTGTTTCCCAAAGTGTATTCTCAATGATTTTCTGATTCTAAAATATTCCTTTCTTTAGTGAATTTATCTATCCTCTTATGGTAATTTCCCACCATATATTTACTTACTAACTTCAAATGTGTATCTTTCATCTAAAGATCCTTCTCTCACATAGCCTACTGCTACCATACTTGGGCACTATACAGGCACCTCATGTCAAAAATATTCAAAATAGATAAAAAATTTGTTTTATAATCTGCCATTCCTTAAAATAACCAGCACTACAATTACAGAATTCTGTCAGTGCTTATGTTCATTACCCATCCACAAAGGTGCTAAAGGCAGAAACCTGTTAGTCATCTTTAATTCCTACTGTCAACCTCCCTTGGTTATATCATTTTTACCCCTTATAATAATCTCTTCATTCATTCCATTTTTTTAAACCAATCACATTTTTAACAAATCCATTTTCATTCACACTTTAACCCAAAACATAATGATCAAATATGATCATCTGACCTTTGCCTGATGTTTCCAGTCTCCTCTTCCCTTAGCGCTCTGTATAATTCTACTAGCATAGAAGCAACGAAAGCCAACTTATTGGAGAAGCAATCCTCCTATTCTCTAAAATGGCTCCCTCTCTCTTCTATCCCTTAAGCATCTATACATCTTTCAAAAGTCATGCTAAAGTTTCTTCTCAGGGGAAACTTTCCAAGGTTCCTCTCAGTCTGAGTTAGGTAGCCTACATTTGTCTTCCATAGTACTTATCACATACTTTATTAGTCTATTTATCTACCTACTCCCCAGCTCTGAACTCTAGGAGACAGAAAATATTTTTTCTCTCCTATACCCTGAGCACTTAGCACACTCTCAGGTATGTAACGCGCTCAATAAATAATTGCTACTCGTTATTGTTATTAGTCAATATCAGTACCTCATCTAAAATACACCTTTTTAAACTTTGCTTCCCACAAATACTTCATTTATTCTGGTGTTTTAAATTTGACTCTATACTCTAGTCAATTAAAGTTTGAAAGCAAAGGTTTTGTCTTTGCATATATTTAATTTATTCTATGACAGTGTTATACATGGAAATACCTAAATTTCAGGACTACTTTGGTGTACATATATGTCATGCTTCACAAATTAAAGTTGAAAAGTAATTCTTCAGTTCAAGGAGGAAGGCAAACCGCATCACATCATCATCTTGAGAAAACTAAAGGTTGAGAGTAGGTATCGAAGGAATGTGTAGTAAAGAAACCTATAAAAAGTATATATTTGTAGTATTTCAAAGTTTTCAAAGCAGTAAAATTATTAGAAGTTTCTATTTGATATTAGACTGCTTTGCTACTTTTTGTTTTGAGCCTCTTAGTACTTGCTTACAAGACAAAAGTAGAACATACTGTTCAATGTGTTCATTGAATACATTGTGCTATGCTGTTTTTTTGTGTGATAATATTATCTCCCCAAAATGAGAACATTTTAAACTTCTAGAGGCCTACAGTGACAAGATTAGGTCCAAACAGACAGTAAGCTCTCAACAGCTATTAATGGGTGATTCATGGTAAAGATTTACACAGCAAAGTTTCAAATAAAAGCATCTAAACCTTGCCTAAGTTTCCCAGTTGATATTTAATAAGGTGGGCTTGTTTTTTTCTGAGTATTTTTCTTTAAAACCCAAACAAAAAACCAAAACATCCCAAATGAAAAACTATAGTCACTATTTTGCAATATTAATTTCAATTTATCAAACACAATCAGTCAAAACGTTTTAACAGGTCATTGAGATTTAAAACAATTAAATGGCAAGAATTTCAATGAGGTTTGCATACATTTTTAAAGTATGGTAAATCACTGTCGAAATCAATACCTTAGCAATGCAGGCATGATTTGGGAGACTTTGTTAGTTTACACATTTGTCAATCATGAATGTTTTTAAAAATAAGTTTCTCACCCCCCTTCTCACCTCCAGCTCAGTTTTGATAAAAAAGTAAATGTGAAGAATAGGCTCTAAATTACATGTTTTTTTTACACACAGAGAATCATATTCTAGTAAGAAAGCTCTCTTTTCAGAGTTCACAAATCACTAAAAAAAAAAAATTGTAGAAGTACATACATACACATCTAATTCTTTCAGTTTTGTTTTGTTGTTTTTTTGCGTTTTATTGATTTTGTGGTTCTTTTTGGTTTATGTTTTTTGTGTTTTTGGAGAGGGGGACTTAAAAGTATTTTGTTATTTGCAGCTGCCTTAACAGCAAACGACAATTAAATGTGTGAACAAGGTTGTCAGAGTAACACTTGTCATTCACACCACTTATGGAAAGGCGCTCCAAGACTTCCAGAAGCACTAATTAAAATTAACGAAAGCTTCTCACTAAGACTTGTCAGAGGTATATTTTGTCGTCCACTGTTCGAGACAGAGGAAAACCAAATCGCCTCAAAGTTCAAGGCACTGAGCCCAGATCTCAGAAAGCAACTCAATACCGTAAGAGTTACAATTCCTTCGCTATAACACAACCATTCAGAAAAAGAGCTCCTGGAGAATATTCTCTCCGAAAACAAGAGAAAGGAGCAGGAGAAAGTGGCTTTCCTCTTTACTATCAGGGGAGAAAGGTGCGAGGTCTACTAGTAGCAGCGATTCTCGCTCCACTAATCATTTCTTTAAATCAGCGTGCATGAAAGCACTCAAAACGAGGGAAAGGTGAATGATATTAACCCCCCTTTGGCCCTAACGAACCCCGGAGGACCCTCACCCAACGTTCAGGTGGGCCTTTCTCACCTGGCTCCGTAGAAGAGTCTGCTGTCCTAACGTAAGAGCACTTTTCAGCATTACGCCTTGTGATTGGCTGACTCGGGAGAAAAGTCTCAGTCCCATTGGCTAAGAGCGCCCCGGCAGTGGCAAGGAGGCGGGAGCTTGGGGCAGGCTCTGACAGGTCCGCTGCTTTAGTTCCCAGAGTTCCTATTGGGTCAACGCGGGAAGCGTCAAGATGGCGGCCGCGGCGACTTGCGGCACCGGCTCCGGGGGCCCTGGCTCTGTGGAGGCGCCAGCCAGAAAGAACAACGTTACCAGTTTCCAAAGGAGGGATGCTAGAACCAGCGGTACCGACAGCGGCGGTGCTCGGCTGGTGTCCATCGCGGGCACACGACCGTCGTTGCGGAATGGACAGCTGCTGGTGTCAACTGGGCTGCCAGCCCTGGACCAGCTCTTAGGTCGGTTCAGAATGGAGATCTGGGCTCAACAGAGGGAAAACTTAGGGAGGGGACCTGTCTGGGGAGACACCCTGACCCCACATCTCTCTTTGACCCCGCAGCCGCAAATGTGGAGAGCACAGTCCGGTGTGATAGAGATGATGGGGAGGAACGGTTGCATGGAGACTTGTAAATGCTGTTAACCAAACCTGTGTTGATGCTCCCACTTTCTATTCTGGTTCCTGCTCACCAGACTTTTTCTACATTCTGAGTTTCTTTTACCCTGAAATCCTTCCTCGTCAAGGGGAGTCAGTAATGTTTGAAGACGGTTTAGCCTTCATCTAAGATCCCCTCCTGGTCACTCTTCTGCTAATCCCAGGTAGTTTCTGGTTTGAAGTAACCTGCAAAACTTGGTTTCATTGAGAAAATTGGCTTCATTAGGAAAATGCTGAAAAAAGTAACTTCCCTTCACCAACACCAGACTTATTCAAACCTAGGTCTGAATTTTTAAACAAATCACGTTGGCTTTTAAGAAAAGAACGTTAAAGGCTAATGTGGATCCAAAGTAGTTTAAAGCCTGTTATTGAGATTGACTGTCATACCCATCTACGTTAAATGTATATACACACACGTTTTTATTAAATTTTCTATATATATTTTGCTTCTCAGAGCTGTTTTCCAAATAATATGTTTAAAGATAACTCACATTTTTTAACAAGAAAAAGAAGTCCAGGTCTTAGGTTTTCTTGTAAAATCGCTATAATTTTTCAGGAGAAACCTGCTGATAATATGCATGTTTCATAACTATGTTGAAAGGACTTGACAGATTAGATTAGTCAGATAGAGCTGTTGTGTTAATAAAGCCTATAAATTAATTCCTGTCAAAATGCTGCTTCCTTAAAACCATTGTGTTTATATTTTATAACTTTTTCATAATATGTGACATGTGTTAGTTAAATTTTGTACATTTTCAAAAAATATTAGTGTTATTTCATAATTGGATTCATTTCTATCTAAATCTGGTTATTTCCATGTAAATGTAACTGTTTTCAGTTGTTTCAAGCCTCTTGCCTTCCTAAATTTCATTGTATTGTAAAAAGAAACGATTCAAAATATCTAGTTGGCAAATATTTATCTCACTTTTTTCCCTTGTGAACCTTTTGTGGTGTCATTCTATGTTCAAAGTTAAAGCTTGAAATCTGTTCCTAATCCTTAACTTTTTTTTTTTATTCAGTGGAAAGATGTAACTTCACTCACTAGGTCCTGAAATTCTTCCCAAAAATACTACATTTCTGTTGTATCTGCAGTTCCTCACTGAAATAACAAAATGTGTCTAGCACAGTCCCTAGCATTGAGTAGGTTTTTAATAAAATCTTGATTGTGTAGGGAGAAACCTGGACAAGAGTTTATGAAATTTACAGGACAGAGTTATTTGAGCTAAAAAAAAACCTCAGAAATTAAGTGATAGAAACAGTCACAAAATTAGTGAGTCTGGGCTAATCCAGATATTAGTCTCCAAATTTAGTGTTCTGCCATTTAAGACTAGTAGTTTATGATGTCTTAAAGCCCCCACCAAAAGGTAGCCCATCTACCTTATGTGCATCTACTTTATGTGTTCCTACAACTCTCTACTTGAACTATGATTTTTAAAATTTTGCAAATTTCCTTGGGGTTGGAGAATGTAATATTTGGCTGAAACAAGCTTCTATTAAAAGTTAGTGTTCACTAAGATGATTGGAAATTTTATATTTTGCATGTGTACAGTTAATTCTGAAAGTGCACAACAATTGAAGAAGTTGTTATAATAATAGTGAACTACATTGGAATAATAAATATTTCCAGAAGTATTTGACTTGCTGTTGACTTAAAAAAAATTTTTTTGTATTTTGATATTCTATAATGTTTCACCCTCTGGAGATAGCTCTTTACATTTGTTTTTCATTAAAACATTATTTCAAAGTGAAATATGGATTGTGTATATATATATATATATATACACACACAAATATAAGCAATTCAGATTATATTGTTCTCAAATGTCACTTGACAAAGATTTTAGCAAGTATAGTATACTATATTGTGACAAAATATAATGATAGTATGATAGCAAAAGGAAGCCAACTGTGAAATTGTGATTGTTGCCTAAATACATTGTAGGGTTACTGTGTCACAAATATTGTTTTGTCACAGTAATGCATGCAGAGATATTTTACCATTGCCACTGTGACATCATTGTAATTTAAACATAGATGTAGAATTACTTGGAAGGCATAGAGGCTAACTAAACATTAATCATTTTCTTTAGATCTTTAAAACATTATCTAATCATATTGGGGCAATGCTGAAGATTTGTCACATTAAAATCAAGTTGGGAGAAATGGAGGAACTTTGTGATTATACGTGTGTACATGTCAAATATTGAAGAAAAAACTTGATTTTAAAATAGTTAAAATGGCTTCATTTTATTCCCCGTGACCAAATTTCAAAATGACCAACCTTTATTAAAGCCAATCTAAATTTGAATCTAACAAATTTACATAATAGGACCCTTTAGACAAAAAGAAAACTGCCTTTTGTATACAAATCTAACAGATTATTAATTTGACTGATGAAAGTCATTTAAAAGTCCCATTTATCATGTTTTAAGTAACGTTCAATTTTACAAGCATTAGAATTACAACACAGATGAGGGCCTCTCTGGTGGCACAAGGGGTTAAAACATAACCTATGAAGCTAGCCTCAGCCACTGAAGCACAAGTTCAATCCCGGCCAGGTAGCAGACCTCTCCTGTCTCGCCTGCTGCTCCCCTCAGCAATGCATTTCAGTCAATCCGCTTGTGCTGTTCCCCACTCTGGTGAATCCTCTCACCCCCCACACCTCTGGCCTGTACCCCAGTTCTTGTATGCATAAATAAATAAATATTTTTTAAAAAAAGAATTATAACACTGATGAGATCTACAAAATTGAACGGTGTTTCCTAAATTATGAAGAACAGTACGGTGTTTAGATTACTCCTACAGAAAACTATCTTCTTAGTGTAATCTGATTTGTATAAGATTTGTTTAACTAGTTCACCAATAGGAGGTATTCTTATTCTGATCACAACTTACGAATTAATGATGTATTTTTTCCTAATCAGAAAATAATTGTGAGGATAGTAAGTGTGTAGCTCTTAAACTGAATAACTTTCTGGACCAGGCATCTGAGCCAGGCATCACTTTATTAAAATGGGAATCTGTCCCTTCATCTATTCTCATCTACCTACTGTGAATAATATTCACAATTGTTTTAAATGTTCTATTACAGTGAAAACTTTACATAAAAACCTAATATGAGGAGGCATGAATGAATATTATGGCAGTTTAGACAAGAAGTCTAAATCTTTATAAGAAAAGATCAAGGAAAAAAGCTAGGTTTTTGTAGCACCTGCTCTAAACTAAGCACTGTAGTATCTGTTATGTGCTTATATTATTTTTCAGCTCCTTAATACATGCAAAATGATTAGGTGGATGTCTCTTTACATATAAGAAAAAGTAGGGAAGTAAGGTGTTGGAAAGTGTGATTTTAAATAGTCAAAATGAATCAAAAAGTTGGTAGTGGTCTATGATCTACACAAATTATGGAATGAAATATTTAGCTTAATGTTGCACCAGACAAAATCTTTTTGTTCTAATCCTTTATTGTAGTTATCAAATGTTGTTCAGTTTATGTTAATCTCTTGACATCCTGTATAGTCTAGTTATGAAATGCTTTAATGCTGTATTGTAAGTCTATATGTAGAATGAAAATATGTATTTAGTCCTATAAAAATCTACTTAAATATATAATGTACCAGCTCTTATAATTTATAAAGTTTTCTTCTCTAACAATTTAGAATATTGTATTTATGAAGAGAAGTTGCCAAATGTTGCATTGTATAATGCACATATGTTGCCAAATTTCAAATCTTGGGAGCATTGTTATTTATGCTATTTTGAGGCAAAAATAAACACTGTGAAAGGAACTTTTTCACACTCACTTTTTCTATATAACATTTGCTACTACAAAACTTACTTGGGGAAGTTTCTTGGGGGAAATTTCTTTATTGGTATTCTAACTGTTTCTTTTAGTTTTGTACTTAGACACACAAACCCTAGTAATATCATCAATTGTCCAACAATTCTAAGTCATTTCTTTTTTAATCTATTATACCTTAAACATATTTCACTCTAATATACATATTTTACATTAAGTGCATTTAATGTGTGCAACACTGATTACATATAGCAATATTTTTATGAATGTTTTACAAGCAAAATATCAGTAGTTAGATCTCTTTTTAGTATGGTTCTCGTTTCCTAAAACTCAATTTTAAAATGATTTTAATAAATAACTTTGAATTAAATGTTTATGATCATATTACCCTGATTCATATATTTTAAAGAATGTTTTCTAGTAATATTGAAAATGTTTTTGTGATTGTGCTTTTATTGTTTGTAATCACAAAAATATTCATTTTTAAGTTCTAAATATACTTAACACCATATCCAGACTTTGTGTTTATTATTTATGAAAAAAAGAATTTGTTATAATTGCCCGTGTTTTTCTATAAGACATAAAATTTGAGGACAAATGTTAAGTTGAATTTCTATTATAATAACT